GCCTGGGAGCTGGCGCGGCGCGCGAGTCCAATCCCAGATTTCCAGCTGCTCGGCGTCCGGCGCGTGCGGCCCACGCGCTTCCTGGGAAAGTCCATGGGGAGAGGAGGGGGGAGGGGTTCGAGATGAGAGAAATAAACCAAGGTGAAGCACGGGGGGAGCGCGCGCCTGCTGGCGTAGCCCCCCTCCCACCCTTCCCAGACAGGGACGTGTTAGCTGCCCCCTGCTCCACGCTTCCCTTTCCAGCGGGGTGCTTGTGCCCAGGCAGGCCCTCATTTACCGCAGGGCTTAACGCACAGATCACACTGCAAGGGGCTTTCCACGCCCGCCTGAGTTAACCCGGCTGTAGAGTCCCGGCCCAATGTAAAGAGACTGTGCCTAGACCACAGACCCAGGAACACCAGCTCCTGGCCTTTAGGACTCTGGGCCCCGTTCACAGAGATGCAGCACTACTCAGATTGGGGCTGAAGTGGGGAGCTAGATCCAACCCCCTTCAGATTGAAGCTGGGTGCTGCATCTCAGGTGGACAGAAGGAAGCTCGATTTAAAACTTCCTGCTGCCCCACACATTTTAGCCTTAGGCAAAGTCTTAGCTTGTCTCTGCGTTAGTCTCTCTCAGTCCTGCACCCTCTGGTCCACTGGTAGGCTCTCCACCAATGCTATATGCAGAGCACCACAAGCACACACCAAACCACAAAGGACTCTAGGAAAGACAAAGCTGCTTTAAAAGCTGTGACAAAAGGAGAGGGCTCAAGCCAAAGACAGACAAGCTTATAAGACTAAGCAAGCCACAAACTGCCCCAGAAGGGATAGTGGTTAATAGGACACAAGACTTACTAAAAGAACAGACGCCCCAAGAAGCCCCTGTTATTGTCAGATATACCTATAAGTTTAGGTCTGTCTAAGGTACAGGTTGAACCTCTCTACCTGGCACCCTTAGGATCTGATGGGTGCCAAATGAGAGAACATGCTGAAGCTTAAGAGGACACTATTGGCTGTAGCACTACCACCACTTCCACTGCTTACTGGGCTCCTGCTATTTAGTGGTTAAAAAAAAAAGAGCTAAATAACAGTACACAACAGAGAGAACCTGGACTGGTGGCTATAAAACTTTGAGACTGTAGGAAACTGTGGGAAAGTAATACAAAAGGAGAAATTTCACTACACTAATGGTACACACAAAAATGTTGTGGAATAATTGTATGGTCATTTGGAGCAGCAAGTATAGTCTTAACAACATGCTTCTTAGAAATCTTGGGTCAAGGGAATCCAGGAACCGTAAGGCTGTATTTTCAGAAAACCAACCAATGTGACTATACATTTTCCTTAGGGTTCTTAGTAATTCTTAGTTTTACATATATGCTGCAACATTTTTCAGTTCCCATATTAAATGCACCAGTATGATTTCAGTTTTTACAATTTTTTGAACTTATTTACAGTTCTCTCCAGACCTCATCAGGGTGGCTTCACCCTCACTCAGTGAATTCATCATTAACTCAAATATGATAGCACCTTCCTCAGTAGCTTTTGTGATGTAAACTCTCATGCCCTTGTGATTAGATTGTGATTACAACACAGCACAGTTATTTAAGAGCAAAAACAGCCACTGGTCACTTGCCTTGATTTGAACCACTGGATTCTGAAACACCATCTCAAGCCTACAACCTGCCTCTCCTCCTCCCTGCACTGCTGATACAGAGGCAGCAGAATCAGAGGCAGCAGTATGGTGGCTGACTCTCTCCCCATGTGTAACTTTCAGTAGTTTCACATTTAGATAAATACATTTTAACATCCCTACTACTCCAATATACTAAACTCCTTCTCTTTGGCACTCCTAGGCCCTGATTGGCTGCGTCATCAGCAACCACTCTGGCCTGCTCAGAAGACCTGTTCCGTGCCCCTTACCAGAGATGAGCATGACAGGACCTTAAGGCCTACAGCATATGGTCTCTGGGTCTAGTACACCTCACCACACCATCCATTCCCAATGCCCTTGTCAAAAACTGAGATCATTAACAGTTCTTAGGAAACAAAGAGCAGTCCTGTGGCACCTTAGAGATTGACAAAGGTATTAGTTCATAAATTTATTAGTCTCTAAGGCACTACAGAACTGCTCCTTATTTTTAAAGTTACAGACTAACCACAGCTACCCCTCTGAAAGTTCTTAGGAAATAGAGCTAATAAGAAAATCTTGCCCAAGGTGAAATGACATAACAGGGGAATTCAGCTTTGAGGGAAAGGGATAGATTAACATTGATCTAATAGATAGTTTAACACTGCAAATGAAGACTGAAGCACAAAGGTCAGCGGCATTTAAGAGAATTAAAATTTTCTGAAAAAAAGATAGCACCCTAAAGTAGTAAGTAGTTTGTAGTTAGCAGGTGATCCTGGACATGAATTTTAGTTTAATTCTGTCCTTAAACAGAGCTGTAGTTCAACTTACTCATGAGTACTTTTGTTAAGTAAAAGAGAGCAGAATAATTATGCCCTATTTTCAAGGATATTCTGAAACAACATACACCACAGCACAACTTGTGCTTGTACAGGAATTTGAGTAATATAGCGTCTTATCAACATTACTTTGGTTCCTTGTCACTATAGCACTATTTTACAACTTGGAAATGCATGACCATTTATTTTCTAATTTGTTTTCTTGGCTTGTGCAAACCACTAAAATACTACTCTGTTTTAATTATTTTTAAACAGCAAAGCAATTCATCTTCAATTAACAACAAATCCATTTTTAAATTATAACAATGACAAAGCTTGAAACCACATTTTAAAAGTGTTATAGTTTAGAAATGTATTACTATCAAAGTCCTCCAGACTAAAGTATTTATGTCAAGTTTCAACCCACCCTTATTTATTGAAAAAAGAATGACTCTGAAAATAGTCACCATCTTTCACCTGGACAAAGACCAAGCAACTAAGTCTATGATCCTGTCCATCAAACTACATGCCATATTTTCTAATGTAATAGTAATGTGTACATTGCATTCTGAATTTGCTGTAGTAGAAGCTCTAATTAACAGCATAAGAAAAGGCATATCAACTCAGATCAGTGGTCACTCTAGCACAGTATTCTGTTCTCTGACAGCACTTAGAGCCAGATGCTTCAGAAGGAATCAACAGAATAGGGCAATTACTGAGTGACCTGTCCCATTCTCCAGTCCCAGCTTCAGCAGTCTGAGGTTTGGGGATACCCAGAGTATGGGTATGTGTATCTGATCATTTTAGCAAACAGCCATTGATAGTCCAATCTGTGATTTTAGCTATTTTTTTTTTTGAACAGTTACATTTCTGGTCTTCATAATATCACATGTTACACAGTCAACTTGAGCTGGGGGAATTAGTATTTTCTGAACTGGGCTTTAGACCTGCTGTCTCTTAATTTAACTGGGTGACCCTGGTTCTTGTGTTATTGTAACCCACACATTGGTGTGTAGGTTACATTATTTGAAAGGGTTAATAGAACTTCCTAACATTCTCCACTTTACTTTTCTAAACTTTTTAATTTCTTCTCTCTCATGACAGCTATTCCATGCCCCTAATCACTTCAGTCATCCTTCTTCGCACCTTTTCCAATTCTCATACATCTTGTTTGAGATGGGGCAACCAGAACTGAACACTGTATTGAAGGTGAGGGCACACCATGGCTTTAGATAGCATTACATTTTCTGTCTTATTATTTATCCTCCCTTTCCTAATGATTCCTATTAGCTTTTTTGACTGACACTGCACAATGAGCAAATTTTTTTGAGAACTCTCTTTTTCTTGAGTGGTAACAGTTAAGTTAGACCCCACCTTTTTTATATGTAACTAGGATTATGTTTCCAACATGCATTATTTTGCACTTTCAAATTAATCGGCTGTTGTTACTTACGGACCCATTTTTGTGCGATCCATTTAGTACTGAAGTCAGACTTACCAGCATGCAATAGCCAAGATCATCTTGAGCTTTTTATAAAAATCTGGCATTACATTAGTTACCCTCCAGTTAAACTACTTAGTACAAGAAAAGCCTGTTGGCTGTACCATCATAAATCCTTAACAGGAAGGTAAGTTTATCTGTTTGGAGAATTATGTATTGTAAGTAGCAAATCTCATGGTCTTTTTGTCAATTTAGAAAACCTGACACCAATAAACTATCAAAAGTTACAAAAGGTAACAAAAAATTTTTCTCCAATTGGTAAGAAGATAAGGAATCAGTAGCTAAGAAGGAACTGTTTGCTCCTCTATAAACTTTTTCCCAGCAGTTCTTATACCAGAGCAAGTAAATGATCATTCATTGGTGTCCACTGGGGAGACAGTAGGGAACTAAATCCTGAGATATTCGCTTAGGCAAAATAAAATATTAATAAACTTTAGTGGGATTTTTGGCTAAGTAAAAAATTGACCAGGAGCCTCAGAATATGGGCCACTGTCATTAAGTCTTTAGTAAGCACCCATAAATAGTTCGTTTAAAAATCAAAGTCTTAATTTAAGGAAAGGCATCAAATCCCATGAACAGTTCTACATCTGCTAACCCTTGCTCTGTAATGGAGGCATAACTACAGCAGGATTTAGGGATTTAAAATCCCATTTAGTTGGTTAATGACCAGTTCAACCTCTTTGTTTAACCAGTTAACTGATTAAAAGGAGAATGAAC